GTATCACTCAGCCCTCTGTGAGTAGTAAACAGCCATCAGTGTGCTAATGATCCATTGTTAGGCTGATGGTCAGCATGTGATCAGCTGGTTTTGGTTGTCAGCAGCAAAACTGGTTGATCCACCCTGAGACGGTGCTATTTAAGAGACTGAGCTGAATACAGCTCCTCAGACTGAGGAAGTCTCTCGGATGAGAGACGAAACGTTTCTACATTTTTTTGTTGATTTGCTTTGTTTTGTTTTTTTGAATGTCCAGAGGACCAGATTGAACTTTTTTGGAGTTTCACTAGATCAGTATCAAAATATCTATCCAGCTACGTTCTTTACCCGCTTTTCTGTGCAGAGCCAAACTTCTTGTACAATGACCGAGAGGCGGGGGACACACTAAAGTCACCAGTCCAGAGACACACAACACTGACAATAAGACAAGACTGACCGCAATATCACAATTTTGTATTTCAGTATTGGTGTTACAATATATCTAAATTTCAGTATCACAATATTACAGTATACATGTATCAAATATTAATGAGTAATCATGTACATATGAATAGTACTGTAATGTGAAACTTGAATTATTATGATTGATAATGCTTGTCTTCCTAATATACACAGACTATAAACAACATATAAACAGGTACATTTTAATTAATCTGAATCACATTTTGGATTCACATTTTCACATTTACTCTGTGCACAGAAACAGTTGTTTCTTTATGATATGAATAAAGCCGCGTGGCATTTTGCCGGAGCATATTTGTCAGGTTTGCCTAATTAATCGGAGGTGAGCAGTGTCAGCCAGGGCTCAGCAGATCTGCCGTCGATGTGCAAACTGACTCCTAATTGTGTGCTGGATAACGAGACAAAACACATCTGAAGGCTGCTTAGTTGATTTTTGTACATGCAGAATGAATTCAGATGGTCAAATATAAGGTTATTTTCTCTTTGTATTCAGAAATGTTTGAAAACTTGCGGGAACATATCTTTTTTTTTATTTTTTTTTAATCTATTTTACATAGACTCTATGTTCGGTCCATTTCTTCAATCAAAGCCCTCTCTTGTGTTCATCACGTGTCCCATATTGGTGAAATGTTAGTTTTACTTGCAAACTGCATAAAATCTTTAACCATGAAAGGAGAGGTATATAAATGAATAAATATATATGTATATATTCAGAATCAGAATCAGAATAAGTTTTATTATCATTGCACCGTAGTACAGTACAGTGAGATTATATTTGTACAGTCGTCCGAAAGATGGGCGGAGTGCACGTTGCTGCTGCTCCTAAGAGCGCGGCCCCTTATTCTTTAGATAGAAAAGGGGGAAGGCCTTGAGGAAAACACAGTGGTATTACAAAAAAGATCTTTTATACATCTTGTCCTTATCAGGACATGATTTAAGACCTCAAAAACTCTACTAGCAAGCACATTTATAAACACATTACATATGCATTTGACGGCAAGATGGTGAGATTTGGCCATGAAGCACTTCCAGAGAGCACCATAGTCCTGATAAGATGTTGGTGTCAGCCAGTACCGCTCTGATAAGCGTTAACAGACATTTCGGGGGTGGGGTGTTGCGGATAGAGCAGAGCCTTCCTTAGTTTACACTTATCCCAGGAGGAATTTGATAAGTTGGCCTGCTTCAATACTGAACGGGGGAGTCAGATTCAGATAAGCCACAGTCGTGTTGATTTTTGTCAGGTAGACTGTTGCTTCTCATCAGCCTTGAGTCCTGCTGGTACTTTTGATGATCCAAAATGGCCAAATTTGTGGGCATTCCACTGGGTCCGTGCTCTTTAGCTCCCTCCAAGGTCGTCCCCAGCATGTTGGCGCATCCCAGAAGCCACACGTGGCCTGTGATTCTCATAAATGTCACACATGGTTAATAAGCTGTGTGATCGTCATGCTCGGTATATTTCAGTTAACAACTTTTGTTCTTTATAAAAGATATAAATTCATAGAAGCATTCTTTTGAGGTGTCAGAGCTTATTAATACCACGGTTATTAAATATTTGTAGTTTTCTTTTGATTTGTATCTAAAATGAGCTTTTGATTGTGGTAAAGAGTTGACCAAATGCAAATATTTAGGGATTTGTCTCAGGCACACACTTTTGTGAAAAGGGAGTCTACAACTGTGTCTTTGTGCATGTGAAATTTAATGTAATTTGCAGGATCATGCCTTGGAATGAGAATTATGGGTCTTTGCTTTTTGGTATTTGAGCGCATTACGACGGTCATTACGTCATAATTTTGCTTTCCCTTAATTTTCTTATCACTCTTTAATCTTAGGAACACATCAGCAAAGCAGCTCAGTGCACACGTCAAAAAGTTGCCTGTTTTTTTTATTCAGGTAGACATGATTCAAGGTTATTTTTTACTTTTGTCATTTCTCCATCATTTATTCTAATAAACCGTCTTTTTTCACTTCAAGGCTCCCACTCATCTTCTTTCTTTACGCCTTGATTTTCTTGCTGGGGAATATTTTTTCCTCATGGTATAATGATGAGACATTCTGAAATTAGAGTTGCCTCGCTATAACTATAATATTCTCTCTGTAATGCATGCATTATGAGCCGTGTTTTTTTTTTTTTATTTGTCATATGAGATCGTGCTGCAACATGCTGTCTGTTCTACTAGCAGGGATTATGAGTGCGATCCGTGAGACTGTGACTAATGCACTCTGTTCATGTTTGTTCTCTTAATAACTACATTTGTTCCACATTGCAGCAAACAACACACCACCAAGATTTTAGAGGGATTTTTTAATATTAAAACCAAAAGAGAAATAGGAGGAAATGAAAAATGTGCACCTCTTTTTAGATTTGCTGTCTTTTTTTAGCTGTTCATTTAAATTGCCATCCATGCTGACGTTAAAGTCAAATCAAGTCGTTTCCGTTTTTTTTTGTCCGTTTTGTTTTTAATGAGATAAAATCATTGTGAACTGAAACGTTAAGACCCCAATGCTTAAAGAGCTCCTTTTGTGAGGCAAGAATAAAACAAAATCGTTGCTTATATCCTTTCTAACTTGTCCTAAATAGATAATCTCACTGCTCGCCCAAAAAGGATGAAAGAAAGATTAAACAAGTAGAAGGTAATCCACACAAGATTACTCCCAAGTGCTTCTCTAGTCGAGTCAGAGGACATTTGTACCCTATAAATTAAGCTTCTCCTTTATGGACAAGACAGCAGTATGAAAGGTTTTCACAAAACAAATCTTGAACTACACCAAACAAAGTTTAGATGTTGGAGTTTACCATTAGATACCAATCTTTAATAATCTCGGCAGATGATGATCGAGTCATGAAGCTGGTTGTTTTGAAAACTGATGACACATAAGCGTAAGAGTCTGGTAATAAAATGCAGTAATCCAATAGAAACAAAACGTGAAAACAAAAAGTTGTTGCCTGTAATATTTTGTCCTGAGTTTTTATTCTGTGTAGGCTCACTATGAAAGCTGTTTCAGGCATAAAAACACTGTTATGCCACTTTTATTGCTGATATGTGCTGCTGATTATCCATGCTGCTGATCTCATGCTGCTGATTATTTCATGCTGCTGTATTCGTTCGTACTCATCTACTCACACAGAATCATGTTTGTGCTGCTGTTATTCGGCGTATTGTTTTGCACTATTAGTATTTAGCGTATTCTTAATTTATATCTTAGATCCTTAGTATTGTTTATTTTTACAATTTATATTTTGGCTATTGTTGGATATAACTAGGACCCTGTGTACACAATTTTGTTCCACCCCATGCACTACATGTGATGCGAATGATAATTAAAACCTACTTGAACTTGAACTTGAACGTAAAATTAGTCACATTTTCTATCTAAAAGCCACATTTCTTGACTCAACAAATTAAAAAAAATTGAATTTATGAGGGTTATTTGTATTAAACAGATGTCCTCTGAAAACCAAGTTGAAATAATAAAATATAAACAAGTTTATATCAGTTTAGAACATCTAAATATGTAATATTCTTAATAATGAGTTAAAAGAAAGTTAGACAGGGTTTCAGTTTATTTTTTATTTATTTAAGACACGTGTGGATTGTGATGTAAATACATTCATATGTGCATACTGTAAAGTCCTTTAAAGAGTGAACTTATATATATACATATATATATATATATATATATTGTCTGTCTTGCATAGCTTACAAAGTGCTATGACTTTCTGTTGTTTTATGTTTTAACAAAACAAGTTTTTTCTTGAAAATTAAAATACCACCACCATAAAAGAAGAAGAAAAAAAAAATCTGCTCTTTATTCCAAAATGTGCCATGATCTGAAATATAGTCCCCTCTCTCCTCAGCATTATTATTTCAAAGTTTAGTACAACATTCCAGCCAGTTTTCTTTGGGGATCTTTCCACTTTATACTGATAAACGAACCACAAATGGGACTCTTGTTGTGGAAAGTGCATTGACTTAAAGAGCTAATTCTTAGCTCTAACACATTTCTTCTAGGCCATTGAAACTTAATGACACAATATACGTTATCTTATGTCCAGTATGATGTTCAAATCTTTTCAGGGTTTTCCCTTTACATCCTGCTATTGATGATAATAAGTAATCACTGTAATCACAAGATCTACAGGAGACATGAAGTCATCCATGTTATTTTGTGATTTTTTTGAGAAAATAAATGCTTAGAATGAGATTAACAGCACGTTATTCCCATTAAACCAAACAGACTCGTTTTCATTTGGTATGTGTTTCCACTGAAATGAAGGAGAGACTGATTCCCCATAAGACTCTGCTACATAACACCATATCATATACATCAATCTATGTATGCTGTGCACAGGAACACAGTTATTGTTGTCGCTCACGGAACGTTGCTCAGTTAGTCCCTCGGGTTGTAGTTTGTAGTTCTCTAAAACAGATTAAATGTCCCTAAAATTATTGTGCTATGCAGTGCAGAGCAGGTTTCCCCCTTTTGGTATTGATGATATCAACCAACATCAGACTTGCTTTGACCTTAACGTCCTCTCGCACGTGGTTCGAGCACGTGTCCATGCTGGTGATCCTGCTTAACTGCGTGACTCTGGGGATGTTTCAGCCCTGCGAGGACGTTACCTGCCTGTCAGAGTGGTGCCGCATCCTACAGGTGAGTATACTTTCACACTGTGAGCTGGGCTCGCAAGAACATTCTCACACATGGGAAAACACTATTTTTTTTCACACCATGATGCGTTTGCTTGCCCTTCATGCAAACACACGTCACCTTGCACGTTTGCATCCTTTATGGACAGTAATGGCAACAAGCAGCAACCTGTATATGAGTTTATGGTGGCATATGACATTGATAAATGTTTCACTTATTTACCTTGATGACATAGATTCTATACAACAGACTCCATATAGTTAACCCTCCTGCAGCCCTTGGATCAAAATGACCCACGAGGTATCAGTTTTAAAACTGTCATTCTCATCTAAAATGGACAAATATATAAATATATATATATATATATATATATATATATATAT